TTCAGAGAAGAGGACACACAGATTGGGAAAATTTCAAAGAAGGGGCCACAAGATTGGGAAAACTTCAGAGAAGAGGCCACACAGATTACGATAACTTCAAAGAAGGGGCCACACAGATTAAGTTAACTTCAAAGAAGGGGCCACACAGATTAAGATAACTTCAAATAAGGGGCCACACAGATTAAGATAACTTAAGATAAGGGGCCACACAGATTAAGATAACTTCAAATAAGGGGCCACACAGATTAAGATAACTTAAGATAAGGGGCCACACATATTAAGACATGACTCGGTTTAAAAGACCACACACAGGTAAAATTAACAAAAAATAAAAGATCACGCTATCAATAACACAATCCAGTCGTCTTTTTTTACTAACAACGTCTTAACGATATAGACCCTGAAGTCTTATCCCGCGATATCTTGAAATTTACTATCCTCTAAGACCGATTTCCCTAGATTTAATTTCGAGCATTGGCGACTTCAATTCCATAACATCCTACGAGATAGGTTATGAAATCGGTCCAATTTACCAAACAGGTGTTTAGGTTGGTGAAGTGTCAAGGGCCGATATTCAGACAAGATTACAACATAAAGTTACGGGAGGAAGATATTCATGTACCAGAAGAGGCATCTCTCCCTTTAACTGTGTATCAGAACGATTGACCCTGTGTATCACCCTAGTAAACTTTTACTAGTGATGATAAGGAATAAGTTACAACACCAGCTTAATGACCTGTTCAGTTAATTCGACCGATTTTATAACCCCTATCGTAGAATGTTATGAAATCGAAGTCGTCGCTGTACTGATGAGAGCCATAGCCCAAAACCCTAGTATACAGGTTGGTTTGTCTGAATTTCCCAAAACTGATGTGTTGTGGCTCATTCTTTATCATCACCAGTAAAGTATTTTACAAGGGTGATGCTTCGTTCTGATACATAATTATAGTGAGTGTTTTTTAATTTGATTTAACGATAATATCATAATAATAAATTATTTTATCGTGCACACCAGAACGCGATGGCACTGTACATCATCCTAGTCAAATACTATATTTAATATTCAAATTTCTGTGAATCATAATTCATTATATTTCACATATATAGGAAACAAGCTTCTTATGTTTTAAATTAACTAACAAATATATAAATTTTGATCTTAATAGTATCGGAGAGTTGTGGTTTGTGGCTCTATTCAATGTAAGTGCACTATATTGCCACGCATGTAGAAACATTTGAACGTCTACTTACATAAACCCCATTGGTTACTTGGACTCACTGGTAGGGTGAACATTGTGGAAGAGTCGAGATCAGGGATCGGCAAACTGCGGCTCGCGAGCCACATGCACCTCTTTGGATGTGTGAAGCTGCGACTTTTATATAGTTCCATACGTAAATATTATTTATGCGAGTATAATTCATTGTTGGCAAGAAAAAAAGTTGTGGCTCTAAAAAAACTTTAAAAATTTGTAAATTGTAACTTTTTGCCACCTCGGGTCTAGATCTATCCAAACAATTCCCCTCAGTAAAAATCCTATCTTGGTTGATGGGTATTTATTTGCGCCTCACAAATCTCTGCGGATTAAAGTGATCTAACCTCCTAGATTCATAGTTTTATATAATGGTAAAATTTTATTTTTAAAATACACACACACAAAGCCTTTATTGAGACTCTCTGGTCTCACACATATTCTCCATTATATGAGGAGGGGTATTATATAAGTTAAAAAAAAAGAAATTTAAGAAAGATCCAGTTAATTAGACATGGCTTTGATTTTCAAGGCCTTCGTGTAAATTTTATATAGATTTAATGTGAATGACCTATTATCTGACAGGTTGGATATTAAAAAATATAATGAGTGGCGTGTCTGAGCAATTCCCGGGAGAATCAAGTCTCTTTCTAAGTCAAGAAACGAACATTCCAACATGTAGTGTTCTAGTTCTGCGTTGGTTATGCTTTTACATAGTGTAGATATATTTTATCTGATTTTAAGGGTTTCATATAATTTTCTCTGTAGAAAACGAAAATAATTCTTAGTTGTGCTAAGAAATGTTTAACTGTCAGTGGAAGATCAGAGAGTAGATATTTTTCTGTAACAAATGATTTATTTAAATACTTGTAGTGGGGGTATAGCTTAGAGTTGTCTATTCTTGCGTGGTTGGATTATTTTTAAAATACAAGTATCAAAGTTTTTTAATCTTTTCATAAGAAACCGAACCTTTTCTACTTTGGTTTTATTTTAGAATGTTAATACAATCAAACTTAGATAATTGAATCCCAAGCGACCAAAAAAAATCGAAGTATCCAAAAATTTGAATTATGAACGTTTTGAATAAAAGGGACCAAGATTCAAATTAAACACGTTTTAGAATTATTCAAGTTATACTGTATTTAAGAAATAAACACAATTATCTAAAAGTTTCATAAACATTTATATTATGTTCAACAAACTTCTATTAACTCTCAAAAATTGTAATATAACTCAAAGAAGTTAAAATTGAATATGCGATCAATAATCACGGTTTATGAAAGTTTGAAACGTTACGAGATTTCTTCATAACCAACATGGTTCCAACTGGATGGTATAATTAATCCTAAATATAAAATGGCATAAACCCAATTCTGGTAGGAGGCGAGAAATTTGAGTAGCTGTAACCAACATCAGAATAAGTCGCCTGATGATCATCGAAAAACGCCGCTAAGAATGTTCCCATCCTACTGTGAGAAGATCCATATGATTATCATCGCAGGGGAATCGATAGAAAGAACTAGAAGGCCATACCAAGAGTGTTTCAATAGAGTAACTGAAGTGAAGAACAGTGCAACATAATGGTAGATGGCATAAAATTAACAATATTAAATCTTGACATTGTATATCAATTTGATAAAAGAGCAGATTTATTTCAGTAGAAGCATTCAGACGAGTCGATAGGATGGTGGCAAAGCAATTCTTACAAAGGAAGTATATTTTTATAGATTCGTGGCCAAGATGCGTAAGTCCATATTGGTCCACCATATTGGTAATCAGAGTCTTTGCCGTGGAAGCATTTCAAGAGTCGCCACTTGATGAAGATGTATAGTTACAAGTGAAGATAAGTTCTTGAAGAATATCGATAGAATTATAAGATTAAAGCAGGCAGAGTTCACACAGTGGAATAATTAGAAGGAATTCATAGTATGATATTGTCAGGAGGACAGCTGGACCGACGCTGTCAGGACGGTTCGACCGGTCGGGGAAAACGGTGGCGCTACGTGGAAGTGGGAAGAAAAAGGTCGTCCTCCCCTCTCTTGCTCGAACGGCTGGGTCAATTCGGCTCATGTACATAGTCACTTTTATTTTATACTTAAAATTTTTATATAATTAATTTAATAAATATTTAAAGTAATTCGGAAGCCTATTTAATTATTTTTCATCGCGACAATATTATGACATTGGGGGTAGATTCTACCATGGGGTAAAAAAGAAGAGTTCGCGCAGTGATATCGGTAGAAAAGAGCCATAGAATCTTGGCATCCCAGCTATGGTTGAAGAACCACCACGAGTCATTTCAGATTTTTTTTTTTTTAGGTCCGCTGAAGGCAACCCCAGTAGATTTTGAATGATCACCGAACCTTCCATGATTTTCAAGATTTTGAATTTTCCAATACTTGGGGAAATTTTGTTGGGCCGCGCGCAGAATTACAAATATTTTCCAAAATTTATTCATTTCAATTTTTTTATAATAAATTAAATATCACACAACATATATACGGACACAACATTGAATCACAACACAACATAAATAATACATTTATACAATCACTTCTTAATGAATAGATAATAGATTTCTAAACCCAAAATCGCATAATTATAATAATAAATAATTATTATATAAATAATTTTGGGAATCATTCTCGCAGTGCAAATCAAATAATAAAAAAATAAAAACAATGAATTGTCCAAAAAGGACAAGATGGTACAAGTCCAGTGTATCCAGATTGGCCAGATTTGTTCAACAAATGGCATAATAGCCATGAAGATGAGATAAACATTATAAAAAATAAATATAGCATTTGAAATTAGACATGGAATTATTTCAAATATAAAGCATTCCAGAAGAATGCCAATTAGTCCAATTAAAAAGTCCATTTTTCCTTCTTTATAAATCCTTCTATAATATTCAACAAAATATAACAATCAAGAAAATTATAATAGAAAACCCCTTCAAAATAATCTTTCAATTTGGAAATATATTTTTTACGGAATCTTTCAATTTCATTTTAATGAAGATTATATAGAGGGAATTAATGAATTTAATGATATTAAAAATGCTCTATTTAAAAATAAAACACCAAAATGAAACATAAATGGAAAAAATGGTCACTACTTTTGACCAAAAAAATATATTTTCAAGATAATCAAGACCAATTTCTGTACTTTGTATTTTAGATGGCAAGATAGATTGTTTTTGGGGAATATATATTACATTCGAAAGTATTGAGTAGAAATAGCCAGGTGTCATATTGGCTCTTTTCCATCCTTACAATTTCTATAATATTTCCACAAACATATCAAATTGGATCTCTCAAATGATGTTATCCGTAAAAATATAAATTTATAAATTTAATTGCCATCTATCGATAAAATTTGTAACAAATAAATTTAGTGGAAATGTGTTTCTTTTTACAATAGCATCAAATATTTTCTCTTCTTTGGGCGAAACCGCTGAGAGGGTTCACCACTAATGAGCAAAGCCCTCCTCTCATTCAATAATCTTTATCATTGAAGTAAGGTCTGTAGAGAAAATAATTGATGCTATTTTAAAAGAAACACATTGCCAATAAAAATCTAAATGTTTCAACAACTTAGTATAATAAATGTAGATAAAATACTTGCTCAATTTCTACATAAATATGAATTTTATATCAAGTAAAACATTTATGTATCGAACCAGAATTTATTTTTCCTGCGTGTACCTTTCGCTTTGTGCTAACTATACACGCCAAAAAAAAAAAAAAATGCTGAAACCATCAAACCAGGGACCTTTAGATCTTCAGTCTAACGCTCTCCCAACTGAGCTTTTTCGGCACAAATTTATTAGATATATTATACACTATTGTATTCTATTATTCTCTTTTTTTTTTTAATTTAAGGAAACAGATTATCAAAATTTATACAATTGAGAAATTTAGTTTGACCTCCATTTCTATCGCTAGTTTCATCTAAATATATCATTGAAAATCTTCGAAATCAAGAGCCACCAACATCATTTCCAAACCTATAGAATTTGTTGACTTTGCTTAGAATCTTTGATGAAACTGTTTCCAAGAATATTAATCAAACATTATATTTATTGATTTACAAGATAGTTAAAATATAAAAGAGAAACTAATATTAAAACAAAAGGAACCTTTTTTTTGGTTAGCGCCTATTTACTTGTAATCTTACACACATACTCTGTGGGTATAAATAATCAATTTAAATATATATACAGTTAAACCTGTCTATAGCGCCCCATCTAAATAGCACCTTCCTCTCTATAGCGCCCGATTTTAAACATTAAAATGTAAACATTTTACGTTAAAAGTGACCTGTCTATAGCACCCCTTCTCTATAGCACCCTATTTTGGTGAGTCCCAAGAGGGGGCGCTATAGAAAGGTTTAACTGTATAACATAATTAAACTCCAAACTTACCTGTTAAGATTCATTAAATATTGATGGAATTTTTAACAACTTATCTCAATGTTTCTTTAGATCCCACACAAAACATCTCAAATACTATTAGAACGAAAATGAAGAGAAATGCTGAAATAATGATCGAAACAAATAACCCTATTTAAATACAAACAAGCTATAAAAGACAATCGAATTTTTTTTTTTCAAATAATGGTTTTCTAATACCTTAGGATAAAACTCCGTAATAGATTTTGATATATCATATGGAAAGAGTGTAAACCTAAAATATTGCCACCTAATCATAGAGCATACCTATCACGAATTTAAACACACAAGATCTGCATGAATTCGTAATTCCATGAACCAACTTCGACAATTTTTGACAAGTTAAATGCCTTTATTGATAATTAGTCAATGATTAATAGAATAAATAAGTAAACAAGGTATGCTGCCTCGTCTTGAGAAAGTTCTCCTCCAGACAGTGAGGGGGCCTTCTTGGAACTTCACAGTTCTTGACTGAGGAAAAGATTGTAAATGCAAGACTTGTCTGACACAAGGATATCCAGTGCATCGTCAACCAGGTCTCGCCCGAAGACCCAGACCTGCAGTCAGGTGAACCAACTTAGAAAAAGCAGAAAAACGTCACGACAAGACAGTTAGACAACATCAGATTTCCGAAAAGGCAACAACAGAATGATGAAACAGCGTCTTCTTGAATGGGTCCCGGAAAAATTAACATAAGAAGTAGCAGTGAGGTCATTCAAAGAGTACAAACACCCACTGGTGAATATTGTCGCAACAGTTCTTTCATTCTACACAAAAACATGCGGATCGTATCGGTACACCTGAAAAGAATCGTTTACATTTCTAAGTCCAATGATGAAAGTCAACCAGCTCTACCAGAAATACAGGTTCTGAGTGTCGACAAGGAACAAACTCGAATTCCCGATGTATCTAATACTTCTTCGCTACCCTTCCAACATCTTAAGAATCTATTTCTATTATATATAAACTAACATAAGACAAAATAATATAACGAGTTTAAAGAATTAACTAATAATTTAACCTACCAAATTGGCGAAGGGATCTCAAAAAGGTTTGTAACTCTGTCTTTTCATTGGCCTATTTTCAAAAATAGAATCTCGCGTCAACTCATAGAGTCAAATTCATTATTAATTATTTTTAAAGTAATTTCGCTGAAAATAAAAATAAACTAAAATTATATAAGTAAAATAAAAGTATAATTCTTTAAACGTTGGTGTAGCAAAGAAGTAGACTGGATAAGTCAAATATCAGAGATTGGGAAGAGGTTTTAAAAAAATAAAGATGATGGAAAGCTCCTTAAAATTTCGAATAAGTATCATATTTTTGACTTATAAGGCCTAGTCAATCGGCAGTAACCTGGCTAAGGATAGGCAGTACGCTATAGTTGCTCTGAAAACTATTTTTTAAAAAATTAATAGGAAAATATTTTATACTGTGCAGTATAAATTTGGTTCACTTGTTCAAATCAAGTAACCACAAATGATAGACATAAGAAATTCAAAAGCAGACCACTTGGGTGCATAATTGCTTTCAAGCCAATTGAATTCTAAGCCAAACTTAAAACAACAGCTTTGGGCCTTGGAAGTAGTGTTTGAATGTGTTTGAAATTTTTCAGGCACATGCTGTGCGAACGCTGATCTCTAATCAGCAACAAATTTGAAAATCTATTGCCCTATTACAAAGTTATTTATCTGTTGATTCTTGTGAAAGTCCAATTAAAGTTTTAAAAACGCTAAAAGTCGTTGTTTTTAACTATGTTTTTTGTAATTATAGCGATATATTGCTGCAACTTGTTTGATTGACACATACAGCAATATTTTGTCTTGTAATTTTGAAATTATTAATTTAGTCATTGTAAATATTAGTTGAAAAATATCTTTCACTGATATATATGTTTTGACACACAGAGTACATTATTATTATCAATAAATAAGGTGAATTATAATTTATTTAAAAAAAATAAGAACGATATTAAAAATTAGGGCTTGATTTATTCAAATTAATCACCTTGGCTTTCTATACATCGTCTCCATCGTTTTGGCAACTTGTAAATACCCTCTTTATAGGCACTCTTAGGAAGCGTGTGAAAAATATTTTGCACCACTTTCTGGACATCTTCATCCGAGTCAAATCGCTTTCCCTTTAACTCCTTCTTTAGTAGTCCAAAAAGGAACTAGTCAGAGGGGGCTAGGTCTGGACTATATGCAGGATGTTCTAAAAATTCAAAACCTAATTTAATGATTGTAGATACAGTTTTACATGATGTATGCGGCCTTGCATTATCATGAAGGAAGAGAACACCTTTACTAAGCTTCCCTCTTCTTTTGTTTCTTATACCGGGCTTTAGCTTATTTACAAGAATGTCACAATAAAGGTCGTTGTTCATACGTTGCCTTGAGGATAAAAAATCAAGACAGATTGGTCCATCAACATCTCAAAAAATTGTTAACAAAACTTTACCGGCCGAACGTTGAGACCTGAGGAACATGTAATTCGTCCATTTTTGAACTCGTTAACCCATTTATAAATGTTTTTTTGAACAAACAAGACTCACCATAGATATTTTTCATTCTTTGGCATATTTGAGATGTTTGAATACCTTCTGCATTCAAGAAACGAATAACTGCATGTTTTTCAAGCGTGGTGCAATCCTTCAAGGGAGCTTCCATTTTAGTTTATTTATAAGTCTCGCGCCGCGCGTGGAAAAAAAAACAGAACACCTTAAATAGTCTCTCGATGTTATATTATAATATTCTGTGGTTTAAATTATTTTTGCTTTTTTAATTTTTAAGAAATAAGATAATTCACCTTATTTATTGATCCCCCTTTGTATATTCAGATATTCTGTCACGACTTAACATGACTAGGAAGGTTGGCGCGCAGAGTGGACAACAGTTGGCAGGAGTGACTGAAGTGAAAACCTCTGGACCAGATTACATTCTTCAAGAAAATAAATAGAATAGCTATTTTGCAAGGTAATTGTTTTATTATTATCTTATTTCCTCATATCTGATAATGGAAACTCGCTAGGGAAAGCTAATTTTTAAGTGTGAAGAAAAAAATTGAGTGAGGATCTTATTAAGCTGCAACTTGGGGTGTAGCAATATATGCTACTATTTATCTCATAAAAATATTTTATATATTCCATATAGATTGCGTTATTTATGATTTGAAAAAAAAATTCAGTCACATTCAAACAATTATTAATATATATTATTATTTGAAATAGGAAAATTAAAAATCAGGTAAAAAGTTTCTTTTAATTTAAATTTGCAAGCTTTCGAGCAAATATACTGCTCTTCAACGGGCTGATACTCTATGTACAATCTCTAAATAACCTTTATACAAAATATTATTATTATTATTTATTGCTTCCATACGACTTTTCTGAGAGACATAGTGAAGTGGGGAGATTCATACACTTTAATCTGTCATGAAATATAACTTTACAGAAAACAATAAGATAGAAGCACCACAAAATCACGACTAAAATATATACTTATTATAAACCGATCAAATATCAAAGCTAATAAACCGATATAAAGACAAAATCAAAAATATATAACATTCATAAAGGTGGGCATTACATCCCTAAACAATCTACGCAGCTGATTGCGGGCCTTGGGGATCAGGCATATTGCACCCTGACGCATCGATGGAGGAAGAGCACCGCGGAGCTGTGAGGCCGCGAAAACACGCCGAAAGGCATCCGTGAAGAATTCCTCGTAGACAGCGAGGAGTTCGAAGGGCAGGCCGTTCCAGCTGGGAGCTCTTCCGCGAGGGAGGCGGTGAAAGGCGGTGGCAACCTCAGGTGCGTTGATTTCATCCCGGTGGAGTGGGTCGTCCTCGTCCAATTCAATAGAGGTGGTTGTCCTCTCTGTGAAGGCGGCGCCTGTAGCCGGATCACAGGTCGCGCGGGCGAAGCGGGTCCGGAAGAAAGCAAGGGCCTTCCACCACAGCTCGGGGCCTTCGATGATGCGGCCGTCGTCGTCTCTTGCGATGATGACAGGGCGGAGAGGATGCATCACCCGGGCGATATATCGTACGGACGGGTAGTCAGCCCTGGCCGATGAGGCTTCCAGCTGCGCCGCGATGAATCTGCGGACTCGGGCGGCATATCCGCCACCAGCAGCAGTGGCGCGACGGACGTGGTGAGATCTGGCCTCGACAAGCAGCCCCGCCTTAATGCCCGTTCATATTTCTCAGATGAGCGTATCTCCAAGTTCGCTGACGTCCTCCTCTATCCCACTGATGTAGCCAGCCAGGTGTTCTTGGACCAGCCCCGAGCGAAACATCGCGGCAATGCGAGGCTAGGGGGATGCGGAGGGCGGGCTCACCTGGAGCAGCACTGCGCGGTGGTCGGATA